CTCTTATCTGCAATTAACCATTAAAAAGCTGAAAGTGATGCCATGACTCAAGTGGTAGAGTGACAGCCTTGATTGAAAAAAGTAAGGGACAGCATTCAGACCCTGAGTTCAAGTTCCAGTAATGGTGCTTGTGTGTTTGCACATACTCGCAAAGAAAATAAAGTCTTGTCTTTGTATGTACTTCTTCACCTAGCTCTAGGAAAAACAGACATAAGTACAACATGGAGCTAAATAAAGGTTTGTAAACTCTTCTCTGGCATGGTCTCTGTTACACTTGAGAATTAAAAAGGTACCATCACCAGGTTAGAGGAAGATTAGTGCTGTTTAGGTTAAGATACAAACAAAAACAAATAAAAACTTAACTAGATTTGCAGCCACTTGCCCTCACATAAAATTAAAATATGAAGAAAAACTCAAGGTTAGCTGCACTTGAGGTTTTCTAAATTATAGGATTGAAGGGGTCTATATAACATAATTTTAAACTAAAAAAAAAAAAGTTCAGGGTTGAGTATGTAGCTTAGTGGTAGAAGGCACATTTACCCTATACCGGCAAGGCCCCAGTACCACAGACACCCACACAAAAAATTAAATTAAAATTTAAAGAAGTTCAGGTAGCTGGTTGTAGTAGCTCATGCTTGTTATCCTAGCTACAAGGAAGGCATAGATAAGAGGATGGAGTCCAAGCAGGTCCAGACATAAAGTGTCCTTTCTCAAATTAAAGCAAAAATGGGTGGAGGTATGGCTAATGTGGTACAATGTCTGCCTGGCAAGCACCAGGTCCTGAATTCAGCCACCCTCCAAAACAAAAACCTAAAACAAAAAAACCTATATACCAAAACCCCCCAGAAGAATCATAAGTTAGAGGCCAGCCTGGGCTACATAGTGAGTTTGAGGACAGCATAGAAAGACCTGTCTCATGAAAAAAAAAAAAGTTCGTTCTTTACAATAATCTTGTGATTGCTTCCATTTTATAGCCAAGAGAAGTGAAACACAAAGATTAGACCATACAGCAGAGCTGAGATCTAAACCCATGGTGGGTTAATTTGAACCCATGGTGGTTTTAATCCTAGTGTTGATTACTAACTATACTATTCTACCCCCAAATAGAAGCCTTGGTGGGCCCATTGATCTGTTTGTTGGCTTACCCTGGCAGGATGAGCTGGTCTGGACAACTAACAGAGTAGATGTCTGGGCCAGAAAAATACTGGAAAATATTGGCAGTGTCATGTTAGAATGGAGACATCTTACTATCTATCGTGGATGCCCTTGAAAGTATTTTAATCCTTCTCATGAAGCCTGTTATAAGATATGATTAAGATAAGACAGAATTGAAATAAATTCTAGATTTAAATATGCAGAATATTTTATCGATTAGTAGAGAATAGTAGTAGTGAAAACAATATAAAAGTTAATTTTAGGTATTTATTTTTAAATATAACCTTTACCCTATAGTATCTTTCATTACAGGTAGAGTAAGTATATGCGCATTCACAAACAGTATAATACCTGAGACCAAGAGTAAGAATGAACTTTAAAATCATTGGTCAAGAAAGTGTATCTAAACCTATTCTCAATAGCTTAATGTATTTGAGCAGATACAGTAGACTATAGAAATAAATATCAAATTAATATCCCAGCACCTGTGGCTCAAGCCTGTAATCCTAGCTACTCAGGAGGCTGAGATCTGAAGATCATAGTTCAAAGACAGACTGGTAGGAAAGCCCAGGAAATTCACCAACAAAAAACCAGAAATAAAGTTATGGGCTCAACCCTGAGTTCAAGCCCCAGTACTGGTACATACACAAATCAAATTAGCCTAATATAGGTAAATAATTTGAGCATTGGTATCCTACATGTGGAGGAATTGACTGTTGGGTTTAGAAGTATATAAAATGCCATCAGGGTGAAGAAAGGGGAAGTCTGTTATAACTGAAGAGGGGTGTGGTCCGCTCACCCTAAAAGGGATAGATAAAAGTTTTAGAAAGGACAGATAGGATGTGGTAGACTTCGGAAGCAGCCATTCAGAAGCTAGTCCTTTGCTCTGCAGATTTCAGTATGTCCATGATCAAGAGCCACCATAGTGAGCTGGAGAAACCACAGCGTGTGTGTGTGTGTGTGTGTGTGTGTGTGTGTGTGTGTGTGTGTGTGTGTGTGTGTGTTTGGGCATCAGCGCTCTCTGCCTGCACCGAATCCTTGGGGGTAACCGTATACCTCCAAGTGCTGTAACCCTAGTGCAGGTACAAGGATGCTCTAAGTGGTGAGATGGAAGGGCGAGATAGCATCACAAGGATTCGTTTGATTATAACAGTAATCCACACCAAGTCCAATAAAACAGGCCAACCGTTTAAAAAGGGGGTCTCTAATGAATTTGCTAACTCTACCAGGCCATCCCAACCACTGCCTGATAGAGTACCCTGTATCAAAACCAAATGGCGGTGCTTTAATTACATACAATAATTATTTCATTTCCAGGAAGTTCAAAACCCTGCTTTGTATTTAAATAAAAACTTCTAGACACGCGGTGAAACTCGATCAAACCAAGAAAAAGGGTGAAACTAAATGCCTGCCCAGTGATTGAAGATTTTGGCGGCTCAGCCAGTTCGACGGGATGGCTCGGGGGTACCCAGGAACGGGGCAGTTTAATGCTGGCTGGCTGGATCCGGGGGCTTTCTTCTAGAAGCCTTGCTTTTCCAGAGACCCAGAGTGGTGTGCAATCATGGACTGTTGAGGGGCTCGAAACTGGGCTGCCTTCGCCCCTCTGCCCCAGCAGAGACCCCCGTTTTCGAAGGGCAGGGTCTCAGATTGTCGCCCCCCACTTTTGAAGGTCTATTAAAAGCCCGGGGCCTCTTATCTCGACGGCTTTGGGTGTGAGTGTGGGGTAAGAAGGGGGGGGAGGGCCTGTGGGTATCTCTTTTGCCTGAGGAGTTGGGGACACTTGTGGAAAAGTCAGGCCCTTTTCGCTCCGGCGGCCGCTCCGGTGTGGGGCTGGCTTGGGTTAGACACATGCACACTTACACCATAGAGCTCTGCTTTCCCGTAGCAGCTGCTGCCTCTGCCTCTGCCTCTCCCGCCTCAGCCTCTTTGCCCGGCATACACACACTTTCAGATTTGCGCGCTGTTTCAATCCTTGATGACGTGTCCCCGGAGACAGCCAATAGCAAACGGGCTCTGGTCAGGACAATGGGAGGTATCGGACCAATGAGCGAGCCCGGTGAGTTGGCGGTAGCCAATAGGAGCCGCGCTGGCTGGAGAGTAATGTTACAGAGCGGAGAGAGTGAGGAGGCTGCGTCTGGCTCCCGCTCTCACAGCCATTGCAGTACATTGAGCTCCATAGAGACAGCGCAGGGGCAAGTGAGAGCCGGACGGGCACCGAGCGACTCTGTGCCTCGCGGAGGGTGAGTGTGAGGTAGCGCCGCGGCGGGGAGAGCGCCTCCGGAAGCTCCTCAGCCCGCGCGGCGGTCGGATCCCCGCGGCCGGGAGCCGGCGGGTCAGGCTCCACACAAAGGCAAATGAGGGGGGACCGTGGGGGGAACTGCGCACGGAGCGA